AGATGCTGTGAACATTACTGAAATGACAACAAAGGATTTAGAGTATTACATAACATTAGTTGACAAAGCAGCAGCAGGTTTGAGAGGATTGACTCCAATTTTGAAAGAAGTTCTACTGTGGGTAAAATGCTATCAAACAGCATCATGTGCTACAGAGAAATCTTTCATGAAAGGAAGAGTCAATCCATGTGGCAAACTTCATTGTTGTCTTATTTTAAGAAATTTCCATAGCCTCCCCAACCTTCAGCAACCAACCACCACCCTCATCAGTCAGCAGCCATCAACATCGAGGCAAGACCCTCTGCCAGCAAAAAGATTAGGATTCGTTGAAGGCTCAGATGATGATTAGCGTTTTTTAGCAATAAAGTATTTTTTAATTAAGGTAGGTACATGGTATTTTTAGACATAATGCTACTGCACATTTAATAGACTACAGAATAGTATAATAACTTTTATATGCACTGGGAAACCAAAAAATTCATGTGACTCGCTTTATTGCGATATTCTCTTTATTGCGTTGATCTGGAGCTGAACCCACAATATCTCTGAGGTATGACTGTACACAAGCCAGCCTCCCTGAGGCCATGGTTCACACTACTTAGGATATCTAAAACCTATAAGCCAAGCATTTAGTTTAAAATGTCTTGAGAAAGTAGAGCGTGAGAAAAATGTGCAACTGAATCTAAACTCCTAAAAAAAACAAAACAAACAAATAAAAAAAAACAGACTTACTAGACCAGTTGAGACGGGAGGACTTCCCTAGACTACTGTCCTGATATATATTCTTTAAACCTTGAACTGAAACTAGCCCCTGAGTTCACCTTTTAGCTAAATAGGCTGGCTCACAAAATAAAGACTATCACCCATGAGAACTAGGCCCCTTTGAAAAATCATCTATATGAGACCAAATGGTCAACAATTACTTTAAAACAAAGCTGAGAATGTAAGGGGGAAAGGAAATTAGATTACTGGAAGTAGAACAACCAGAACAGAAATAATTGAGAATGTTCACACATTGGGAAGAATGTAACCAATGTCACTGAATAATTTGTGCAGAAATTGTTGAATGGGAACCCAAGCTGCTGTGTAAACCTTCACTGAAAACACAATCAAATATTATTTTTAAAAAAATATCTTGAAAAGGAAATACTCCCAGATGCCTGGCAGAAGTAAAGATCAATCTTCTTTAATGGAATACACCGTAAACCTAGTTCTTAATGAACCGCCAGGTAAAGTTCTAGTAAATAAGAGTTCAATCAAAATCATAAAAAACCTTGAGACAATAAGCCATCATGAGTGAGAGTCAGCAGAATCTTGCTTCTTCCTGAAAATCTTCTACAACTACGGTGATGAAATTTCTTTAAAAGGCATAAAGCCCATAAATCAGAGAAAATAAGAATGGAAAAAGCATCAGCAGAGTTTTAGAAAAATGAAAATTGATAACTGACAAAGTAGGCCTTGAAACAGCCAGCAATGGAGAGTGCTGAGAATTTTCAGAAGGCTCAGGCTTTGGTGACAACAGCTACTTATGGAAGCAGGGCTTAAAGGGGTGGTAAAATACATAGGACTGGTTGAGAGCTGTGTAAGAAACATTACAGCCCTAAGTTCCACTCCAGGCTCCTGGGAGACTGTCCTTCCTGGACCTAAAGAAGAATAGAGAGTTCCTCCCCAGTGGGGAAAGCAGGGTCTCTGGCCCAGACTTACAGACAAGGCCCATGTGGTTCAAGCGAATGCTTCCAACAGAATGCTGAGACCTGCCCTCCCCCAAGACTTTCCCACTCAACTCCAGATCTTTACCCCCAAGGCCCCCACCCCCACCTCCTAGCAGAAGATGAGAAGAGGACTCAGGTGAATCTTACCAGCCTAAGAAGAAAGACTGGAAATTCTAACACCATGGGCACACGGCCTGCCCAGATCACCAGCAGTAAAGGCAGAGATGAGAAGCTCTACCCATACGCTCAGGGCTTCCAGTCAGCTTTCTAATCCCCCATTCTTAATCAAGAACAGAAAAACAAGGGTTAAAGACACCTATGGAAGATAGAGATATAAATGAATAACAAACAGAAAAAAAACTGCTAAGAAAAAACAAAGATCTTTCTGGGAAGAGAAAACTTAAAAACAACAATAGCAAACATCTTTCATTAATATCATCAATGAGATAATATGGGAAAAAACACATTATTTAGTCAGAACAGGATGCCATAAAAAGAACCATTAAAAAACAAACAAAAAAAGAGTTCCTGGAAATTTTTTTAAAAGAATGTGGTTGTAGAAATGAAAACACTCAAAGTATTGGAAGATAAAGTTGAAGAATTCCAGAAAATGGAAAGAGACAGAATATGAGAATGAATTAGATCAATTTAGGAGGTCCAACGTCTATATAATAGGAGTTTCAATGAAAAAAAAAAAGAATAGGAAAAGTAAAGAAAAAGAAATAATTAACAAGATAATTCTTAAGAACTTCCAGAGGCAGACCCTCTGAGTTCACCAGGGGTTCCTGGCACAAAACATGAAAACAGACCTAAACCAGGGCACAACATGATATAATTTCTGAACTGTGGGCACAAAGAACAGCTCTACAAGCTTTCAGGGAGTGAAACCAAACAAAAATTTCACGTCAAAGGATTGGGAATTGGAACAGCACTGAACTTCTCAGCAGAACCCTGGGGGCCAGAGCACAGTGAAGCAAAACTGTCCAAGGGAGAAAAACCATTGCTCTGGACCCAGGCAAACTATCAGGCTGCAAAACTATCAAGTGTGAGGGTAAAGGCAGCTTTACACACGCACAGCCCGCAATGTTTTCCTCCTTTGCACCCTTTCACAGTAAATTGCTAGAATATATGTTCCATCAAATTGAGGAATAAACCCAGGAAGAGGAAATCATGTAACACAAGAAACACGAGGCCACCACAGACAGACAGAGGCCAGACATGCCCTAAAGGTGGTGAAGGGCAGACCTAGGATGACCGCTGTCCCGTGGCTCAGAGGACACAGCCTGAGGAGGGTCAGGAGGCTTCCGAGCAGCCGCTTTCAAGGAGACACTGATAGAACATCTGACATGAATGGACCTCCTGAGAGGAAATGGAGACAACAGGTGGGGGATTCTGGCTTCGACTGCTGATAAATAAATAGTTAAAATACCCAGTAGCAAAAAACCACAATTTTTGTTGTTGTTCTTGTTGTTGTTGTTGCAGGAATAAAAGTAGCACAGCTCAGAACAGCACTTAGAAAATTATAAAAATGCATACAGTGAAGATTCATTTAGCAAACTGCAATGTAACTGCACCGGGAGGGTGGGGAGGGGAGGACAGGATAAAGACTAAGTCCTCATCTTCCGTATTGAATAACCATGGCTAACACTGTGCCACCAGGGACAGCATATGATCTCACTCTGCCCAAAAGGACCTGAGAGGATGGACAAGAGTACTCCCCTTTTGAGACAGAGAGATTCACCTAGAACACCCCTTTCCAACCTGGCCCAGACTTCATGGGGTGGCCACCAACCTGCCCCCGTGAGCAGAAGGCTCAGGCCTCGGACGTGACTGTGCTGTCAACAGTCCCCAAGGTGCTAGCCTTTCCAGCTGTGCTTCAAGTGGGAAGACAAACCTTGGCATTGCAGTTGGGTCTTGTGTGCATAAAGCACATAATACATACAGCTAGGAGCAGAAGAGCTGCAAGGGACCCGCAGTGGGTCTGCAAGGAATGCCTGCATTTGCCAGATACTCAATGGCCACCTGGTAACTAATGTTGTCAGAATATCCCAGAGGAAAGCCAGCCAGAGAGGAGGGCAGGTGTCTTTCCTGGTCCAGGCTGAAGTCTGCCTGACAAGACACAGTCAGTCACCTGAGAAGGGAACTGAGGAAGTCAGGTAAAGAGACTCCTGGCATCTCCTGCAGAGATCTGGACCAAAAGCACCTTGGGGCCTGGATGCCAGGCTCCCAGCACATCAGGGATCTAGTCCAGGACATTTCCCAGCCACTCCGAGGTGGCCTCCTCACCCCATACTCTGCCTGCAGTCTCTCTCTGCGGATCCAGGAAAATCATGTCGCCCCTTTTAAACCACTTTGCTGGCTGCAAGGCTTATCAGAGGATGAAAGCCCCAATTACTCAGGGCATTCAAATTCCCTCTGACTCGCCTGGCTGTCTCCTCTGGTGGTTTACGTTCCTTAGCCCATCACAGCCCTCACCTCACCAGCATGCCCTGCCCTGCCCACCCCCGTGCACCTGCGAGGTTCTGCAGGCCTCCTCCTGCAGACTCCACCCTCCTTGTGCCTGGGGCTAACCCCTAGGAGTATCCTCCAGAAACCAGGCCTCTGGCAGAGCTTGCCTTTCATCAGAAAACTTGCAGAAGGAGGGCACCCCCCAAAACTGTGTTAACCTGAGAAGTAGTTCATCTGAGGAGAGAGAGGCCTGAGCGAGCCATGCAGAGGGGAGTGTGAAGAGGATGTAGCAACAAGCAGTACTAAATGAGGAACTAGGAGCAGGTGAAGATTAACCACTTTCCTTGTTTTCTTCCTTTGTTATTGACGGAACCTGTGAAATGACTTAGATTGTACTGGGAGGGTCAATCACACTCTAGAATTTCCCAGCCTGGGTTCCAGGGAACTCTAGCGTCATAGGATCTTAGGAAAAGAAAGTTCCATTAATCAAATAAATTTAGGAGGCGTGGCGCTAAACAAAGTGAACTGATGTACTTAGTGCAGACTCCCGGGAGTCTCCCACATCCTCCTGAGCCTGCACTGTCACACCTGAGAGGGCAGGAGGCCGCAGCCTTCCCACACCTGGAGCACCTAGCCGGGCCAGTATTCTGCACAACATCCTTTCAGAAATATGAGGCTGGCGTAAAACAGACAACCCAACTATGCGCATGTTGAACTATACAATTTTTTTCCAGAAAAGTCTGGAGAGCTCATCTCTGGAGACTTTTGAGAAGGCAGAGCAGGACCCCTGAGGGGCCCCAGCGTACAAGTGGGGAGGGGACGTCCCCAAGGCTCTCCTACCTTGTCATCGTCTTCACAGGTCATGACATTGGAGAAGGGGATCTCGGCCTTGAACATCTTCCGGCAATGCATGAGCTGCACCAGCAGGTAACAGACGGTTTTGAACTTCATCCTCTTGGCTGGTTTTATATCTGAGAGAATCAATCCTGGAAATATCTGTCCAAACACACAACAGCCAAAAAGAAAACACTGTAAAGAAGACACACGTTGACTCTCTTGCTGGGAATATTGTGATCCTGGCAGTGACAGGCGCGTGGCCACCCCAAGACAGCCCCGCAGGCATTGGCAGGGAAGCCACACAGCAGCATTCCAAACCTAAGGACCTAGGTACCATGGCACATGCCAGAAACACACCCATAGATGAACTGGCAACCCCAATATTCCACTGCACTCAATTTTCAAACTACACCAAACGCCTCTAAAAACCAGTGATGTCTCTGAATCCCGGGGCTGAGCAGAGGGAGGGGTGGGGACTCGGGCAGGGGAGACCACTTCATGACCCCAACAAATCCGCCAGTTCTCAATACACTTCCTGTCCTAAAGAGGGGACAGATTGGAGGTCACACGTCTCCTTCCTCAGCCCATGAGGATGCTCAGTTCTCCTCTTTTAAGACACAGCCAACCCAATGCCCCTTCTAGCGTCTGGTACTTTCTCTCTTCTCTCCCCCGAACTTCATCCATCTGAACGCCTAAAGAGGGACTGTACTCTGTATCAACTTCACCACCTTGCCCACTCTCAGCCACTGTGGCCTGGGGTCCTCCACACTGGCTCTCAACCACATCATGGTGCCCAGTCTTGCAGGAGTCCTCACCAGCTTCACCCACCTCTGACTTTACTGCAAGTGCCCCTATCGGCTCCTGCATCTCACCTGATGTGTGGGCACCTTAATGCCAACCTAACACTAAACAGCCCTCCTGTCAGCTGTTTATGCTGACCAGCCCCACAGGCGTAGTGGGTCATGGGAAAGAAAAAGGGACGACCTTGCAAATGGAGCCAAAGCAAGAGTTTTACTTTTAGAGAGATTATATACATATATCTCTTTTAATTTTAGAGGCTGAGGTTTTGAATGTACCTTAAAATAAACTTTTCCACACTACTGTCCCTACTCAAATAAAAGGAGCACTGTGGCTTCCTCCCCTCCCTTATAGCCCTCCTGGTCCCCATGACTTCTGCAGCCTACTCTGAGCACACATATACACATATACACCCATACACATACACATATACACACACCTGCATCGTGCACCTACTCTGCGCTCTCCACAACCCCCTGTGACTCATGATGCGTCATCAGGTTTCCCTCTTCAGCCCCTGCTCCCACCACCATTCTCCTAGGTGGCCACATCTGTCTGTAGGATCACCACCCTGACTCCCGGCCCTGCATTTCTAGCCTGCCCTCCTCCCCAAGCTGAGGTTCTGAGACTTATACCTGCTCCAAAGCAAACTCACCACCCCCCAACCTGCCCCGCTCCCTTCTCTCCTTCAGCTGGTGTCACTCCCACCCACTGGACACTGTGTTCAAAGGGGACCTCTGCCTCACCCACACACCTGCCTTCCACTTCACAGCTCTCTTCCGCAGGGCCAGGGTGATCCCTGTGAGCTCTTCCTGTGATCGGGGCCCAGTGCAGAGTAGGTGCATACATATGTGTATCCATGTATGTGTTGTGTATGTGAGCATGTGTGTGTGCATGAGAGTATATGTGTATGCATGTATATGTGTGTATGTACATGGGTGTATGCATGCATGCATATAGGTGTGTGTATACATGTGTGTGCATGTGTGCATGTATGTGTGCATATGTATAAATGTATGTGTGCACACATATATAGGTATACATGTACGTGTGTGTAGGTATATATGTGTGCATGTATGTGTGTGCATGTGTGTATGTGTGTACACACACGAGTGCATGCATGCCGTGTCTGTACTTCTCAGTAGGCACACTGACCAGGCACAACCATGGTGGCCTATACTCAGCATCTTTTCTGTATCCCCCTTTCTTGAGGAGAATGGTCGCCTGTCCCACCAACGCCTGGGAAGCCATGTGTGTCCTGCACATTTGCTCAGGGACCCAGCCTTGAATGTGAGCCACCACTGTCCTGTACAGCTCTGTATTTAACAAGTTATTTTTCAAACATTTTTACTGGCAACAGCAGTTACCTGAGAAAGTGTAATGGATTGAATTGTGTACCCCCATAATATGTGTTGTAAACCCTAACCCTTAAACATGAGGATATAACCCCATCTGGAAATAAGAGTTCTCTTTATGTTAATGAGGCTATGTCATTGTAGAGTATGTCTTCAGCCATTCACTTTTGAGATCTAAAAGGAGCAGCTTAGGTGCAGAAGCAAGCAAGGACAAACTGGGGATGACTGATGTCACATGAAGATTGCCAAAGAACCAAGGTGAAGCTGAAAAGAGACAAGGACCTTCGCTCAGAGCCAACAGAAAGAAAAAGCCTTCCTCTAGAGCTGATGCCCTGAATTCATACTTCTAGCCTCCCAAACTGTGATAAAATAAAATTTTGCTCATTAGCCATCCACTTGTGGTATTCGTGTTACAGGAGCACTAAGAAACTAAGACAGGAAGGAACTGAAGGCAGGGAATCACCAGGGGAGGGAGATACAATTCTCATGATGTACCTTTTGACCTTTCTGCCATGTATATGTGTTCTCTTTCAAATAATAAAAAGGTCAAATGTGTTTAAATCCCATTCTTTGCTTACACACACCAGGGTAAGAACATTATCTCAGGTGATCCAGCAGGAGAGCTGGCCCTCAGCATTCCAGGTTTACCAACCTGCATTAACTCAACACAAGCCCATGTGCAGCTTTACCCTCCTGTGTCTCCTCCTCCCCATGCTGCCTCTGAAGCTGCTGCCCACCCAATCATTCCAAGAATGTCTTTTCCCCGGGGCACTGTACTTTGATTTAGTGTGCAGCTAACCAACGATTGTCTGGCTACTTCGTAAGTATCGGTGACGGGCAGTCCATGTTGCTGCCTCCTTGGCATCATCTGATTAAAAGGACACCCGCAGTGAAGCCGGGAGTCAGCGACTTGGACTTGAACGAGAGCTGTGGGGGTGTTCCAGCACAGCCTGCTCTGGTAAGGGCATTGAGGTTAGACCTGACCCTGCCCTATGCAGCTGTGGGACGCCTTTCTGCGTCTCAACATGCTTGTCCGCTAGATAGGGCAATGGGACATCCTCTGTCCAGATGCTGACAGGACAGGGTGGAGCCACATGGGGGATAGGACAGCTGGGTGATGGCACTGGTCCTCAGGTTGTTGGCACAGCTCCAAGAGGTCTGTTTACAGTGAGCCTTCACACTCATACCTGCGGGGTGCCTAGGATGTCAGAGCTCTGGGAGGAGCTGGGGCCTGAGTCTGCTCTGAGCCGCAGAGCCCTAAGTCTGCTCTGATAACTCTGTCCGTCCCTGCCTGCCTGAGCCCTGTGGCCCTGAACCCTCCTTGTTCCTGTTCACTGTAACCTGAGACTGGGATGGGGGCTGTAGGTCAAAACCAGCCCCTGGCACTTCTTCAACCTACAAAGTGCTTGCCTACCTGTTGCCATGCTGAGAATCCCATTAAGCCAAGAAGGCAGGAGTTACCACAATCCTGTTCCAGGAGTGGTTCAGTGGAGGCAAGCAGCCACAGCCTCTTGGACATTCCTGCTTCTGCCCTCTCTGCAGCTAAGCAGGCCCTCTCCCAACAGGAGCTCCCGAGGTGCCCATGCCCTTGGCCAGCGCCTGGGTTCCGGCTCAAACACAGCAGACACCCAGCAGGTGGGTGCCGGACGGAGTGGCTTTGAAAGCCAAAAGGAGGAACACTATACAGTATAGTTTTCTCTCTGTGTGCAAGAGACCACTTGAGAGTCCTCCTCAGAAAGTGGTGGGGAAGGTGAATCAACCTGATCTGGGTATCCACCTGAACTCCACAGGCTCAACGGTAACTCTCGCTCGCTCCAGGACCTGTGAGCTTAGCTGTCAGGCAGGGCCCATACATGCATTCCTTCCCACGCTGCAACCCCTGACCCCAGCCTAGGCTCGGCCAGGCTCCAGGTCCATGGACCCCGATACGACTTAAGTGACCTCCCCACAGACCCCTGCTGGCCTGGCCCCTGCCTGGTGCCTGCCACTAAGATCTCCAGCCACCATGGTCTGCCTGCTTGATCCCCTCCCTCTACCTGCCCCCCAAGTCTGCCTCCTGGCAGGTGCTCCATCCACCCGTGCCCTGACACGTCACCACTGGGTGTGACCCATATGACGCGCGGGCTCCCTCGAGGGTGACCACAGGGGGCTCATGAAGATCCTCTACCACAATTGTTCACATTCCATAAGCTCCATCATCCACGCAGTCAGCGTGTTTGTGGTTCATGCTGGTCTGGTAAAGGTTACAACTTAAAACACACAGCTGTTTCAGCATGCCCCCATTTGTAAGATGCTCTACCAGCAACCTCAAGAACAAGGTGTGGCCCTGATCCAGGCATGTCCACACGCCACCAACAGCCAAGCCTGGCAAGGAAATAAGGGCCTCTGAGGGCAGGGGAGCTGTAACTGGGAAGCAGCAGGAAGAGAAGGGTGGACCCCATGAGTCAAATCTTCCCATCAAAACTTGTAAAATCGGGGTTTTGGGGGGCTGTGTTGGTGCCTTTGAGCCAGCAGGCTGCCCATTAAGGGTATTTGAGGAAAGAGCTTCAGAACAAAAGCAGCCTTGCCAGAGGAGATCTGTATCCTTATCATTTCTCTGAGCCTTGGTTTCCCCCTCCAAAAACTACCCCACAGTCCCTCAGTCCACATTTCCACCTCTGCTCCCTGCTGTCCTTGCTCTGTGTTTTGATCTTAGGGCAAGTGCCATGTGCCAGCCTGTCCGTGTCTTTCTCCTCACTGGACTGTGAGCTCCCGAAGAGCGGGGATCGGGCTGGATTCATACCCACACCCCTAGCTTCTCGCCTGAGCACGCCATGGGGGCTGAGTAAATACTTACAACAGGACAGGGTAAGTGCAACCTGCTGTGGTTATCAGTCTTAGCGTCACAGACACCGTGCCCCCAGGCCCAGGAGACACTTTGCCCATGTGAACCCAAGTAGCAAAGCTAAGTCTATCAAAATTCTGGGGCTGGCTCCCCAGTTCCACTGGCATCCATACTGGCTCCAACAGAAGCCCAGGCAGTGACCACAGGAAGCCAGGAACCTCTGCTCAACCAGCGCTCCCGAGAACCACTTACATACAACCCTGCCCCTGGGCCTCGAGAGACTAGCGGTGGGGCCAGCAGGACTCACAGGACTCACAGGGCTCCGGGATGGCTCCTTACACAGGCTCGGAGAGCACTTCAGTACACAGAGTGGAGAGCAGAGTGTGGGACTGTGGGGATGGAGAACATATGGCATGCAGGACAGAGAGCAAAGCATGGGACTGTGAGCATCCTGCCAGTGTCTGCAGGATCCCCCACTGTGTGGTTCAGAGTGATCAGCAGGCCACTGCCAGGCCTTGGTCCAGTGAGAAAACGATGAGGCAGCTCCTAACGAGGGGGGACCTCTCAGAGAAGCTGTACTACTCATGAGACACTATCTACACGTTCTCTCTCATTTGCTTCTTCCACAGAAAGACGACTGAGGACTTCAGTGCCTACAGAGGGCCAATTTAGAGTTAGAAAGATACCCGGTGCTTTTCTCGGGGTGAGGGGTTTTCAATCACCTAGGCCCCTCGCTGGGGAGGTGGTGATGGAGTGCAAAGGAGCCCCCTGAGAGGCTCGGACACAGAGCTGTCCACTTCGTCAGCACCACCTCACACCTGTAAGGCGGTGTCTCGGGTGAAGAGACATCTACAGGAAGAAATCTGCATATGGGAGAGTGAGGGGTCAGAGGACAGGGCTAGTTAGGGAGAGAGGTGGAAAACCAAACGTCCATTCATTTACTGACTGAAATTGTACTAGAAAGTGTTTCTTTTTTTAAAAATGCAGAAAGCAGGCAAACTGATCAATACTTACGGTTTGCCTTTATAAAGACAGCCCTTTCCTCTTTACTAATTGTAGGGGTGAGCCCTGGGGTTCCTGTGCCTCTACCCTGACTGAGATGTGAGTCACTGGAGGGACGAGATGAAGAGGGGGAGAAGTGCAGACCTCCTCTTGGGCTCCAAGGCCAGCTGGAAAGTAATTAATACCCTGGAGCCCTAGAAGCTAGAGGGCCATCTCATCACAGCAAGGAGGAGAACACGGCAGGGAGCTCAAAGGCCACCCAGGTCAGAGGTTTTCAAACATGCGTGGCAGCAGCCTGACTTTTCCAAACAAACCTTTGGAAGGAATTACATGATATCTACAGATAAAACATAAAATGGAAAGCAGATATTCCAGGTAGCTGAAATCTCTAGTGGGTGTTGGGAATCACTTTATGCCTGTCATAGCCCTCGACACCCCCAGTAGACGTCTCCCGAGAGCACAGCGGCTGCCCTAGCTTTGGGTAGAGTGGAAACACTGGACTCACCCTGCCCCCACACCTCAGGGGAGAAAACAGACGCAGAGGAATGAGTGCCTTGCTGGAGGGCACACAGCATGTGGGGACAGGCCCTAGCTCCTGGTCTTGCCCGTAGGGGACCTAGTGGTGGCAATGACGTTGTTTGAACACAGACCACCACCCAACATGCCAGGCTTCACTGCCTGCATCAGTCACCTGTGTGACTGTCAGCCAGCCCTCGCCTGTACCGTAGAAACCGTCTGGTCACCCTCGACCATCCCTCCAGATCACTTTCCTCTGCAGATGCCATGCATCACAAGGATCCCAGGCCCTCAGCTGGGCACAGCACTTTACAGTTCACTGAGCACACCCCCCTTGGGAAACCCCTGCAAGGAATTTTCATACCCATTTTGCAGGAGGGGCAATTAAGGCCCAGAGAGGTGAGGGGAGAATGCAAGATGGCCCATTTGGAGGCTGTGATGAGGCAAACCCCAGATCTAACTTGGAGTTCTAGACTCCTTTCCCTCCCCCTCCCCTTCCCCATACACATAAAAAGGCAAAGTCAAGGACAGCACTTGAATGATGACCATCCCTTCCCATTTTAGCAAAGTTCATGGCCTTGACAAGCAGTGATTTAAAGGGGAAGTACCACAGGTGAGACTTTAAGGTGGCTTTGTAAGGCCCAGCAGTTTCAAGGGTACAATCAAACAAGGGAGGAGTTCCGATGCCTACCTTTCGCCGATGGGATGGCACAATAAAAAATGTTTTGATATTATGAGTTTTCAAGAAACTGTTCCTCTCATGTCCATAACCCGGTTCTACCTCGTAGTCCCCATTCAAGCATTCTAGGGTCGTCTTTGTGATATGAACCTTCCTACAAAAAAGGAGGCAGAGATTTGGAATGGCATCATGGACCGCTGCCGCTCTGTAACAGGGGCCCCGGGGGCTCTGCTGCAGGCCCTGGGCCTGGGCCCTCCTCTTGGTTGGTCGGCATCTGGGGCCTGCAGGGTCATAGGCAGGGGCTCCTCCTCCCCGAGAAGCTTGTTTCATGGGACGGGCATACCCATTCTCCATGTACTGCATGGCGCGTGTCAGCTGGGAAGAGGGGGGCACAGGCAGACAGAGCAGAGTGAGAGGCGAAGCTAGCACAGGAGGGTAGAGAGAGTAGGGTGGCAGAGGGCAGGATGGACAAGAGGCCGGAGGAGAAAGGAGGAGCTAAAGTGAGAAAGAAAACAGTCAGAGGATGCACAAGGAAAGTGAGAAAATAAAAAGTGAAAGTGAGGTGAGGAAGAGAGAAATGGCCTGGGGTCTGCCCCCAGGACCCCCAGGGCAGAAAGGTTTGGGCAGCCAGCAGAAGCAGCAGTCAGACCCCACCGCCGCTGCAGTTATGCAGAGGGGTCTGCCACCCCATAAAGCGGAGGGCGGGAGGGGGTGGGGTGCAGCGGGGCCTTCACGCTTGCCCACTGGCGTCTCTGAGAGGGAAGGAGAATGCCCTCAGGGTTAGCATATGCAGCATTGACCCTTACGAGCAAAGAACACAACCACGAAACTCCCCGCCTGGCCTCCCACAGAACCTGGGTAAGACAAGCGCAGCTTCTGCTCCTGGGAAAGGAGGCCTGAGCACGCAGCCACTCCGGCACCAGACACACTCCCACCTCCACATCCACTTCTGAAAGCCTTGCTCCAAGCCTCTAACACTAGTGCAGCTCTTCTGAATTCCCTGCAGGAATAACCTTGATTTCATGAGTATGCTATGAGGCTGCTGGAGGGCCCAGGAGGGACTGCTGAGAGGCCTCACTGAGAGGGTTGGTTGCAGGATTCAGGAGGAGGGTCAGGAGAGAGAGACCTTTTACTGTTCAGGGGCTTCCTATCAGGTTCGAGGACAAGAGCCTGCAAGGGGCCCAGAGGGAGTTAAAGCCAGCCCGACTCTGGCCCTTCTTGGTACCACACCTGTTCACCTGTCCACTGGCACCGCCCCAGGCTCCTGGCATGCCCCTGCTGAGGGCTCGGTGCTCTCACTGGGGCCCTGACCAGTGATCCTTTGGGCCCAGGGCATGAAAGGCACTCACTTTGGAGCTGCCCCAGCACTTGCAGCTCGCCAGTCTCTCCCCAGGGCCCTGTGGGTGCCCAGGAGACCTGCCATCACCCCAACAGCTGGCCTGAACTCCACTGGAGACAGCCAAGTGGTCTGAAAACATTCCAGTGTCAAAAGTCTCCAGAACTGTACTTGTGTATCCATGCATTTGTTCATCTGGTCCTTCCTTCATTCAACAACGGGCTGGCAGGTGTGGCGCTGGCCTATAGGAGCTGACCAGCTGCTCTCCAGGAACGCAGGGTTCCAACTGCTCTGAGAAGCGGAGGCCCCAGTACACACGGAGGACCATGTGGGTCGTGAGACTCGCACCACTGTCCCAGCCAAGGTAGGGTGGGGCTGGGGAAGAAGTCATCAGAGGTCTTGACCTGCCCTTACCAGCCGACCCACGCAAGGGAGCTGGGCAAAGTGAGGAGAGGTGCCACCCTTCCTCCCCGTAGGCACATTGCTCACCCAGATTCTTGGCCTGAGACTGCACCAGGTGCACCTCAGAAGCAAAGTCACCATGGCCGTAGGTGCCAGCGACAAGGTGAGTCCCAGTCCTCCAGTGCCACAGCCGGCAGAGGGGCAGACCCTGAGGGGCAGTGGCAGGGGCTCAGCCTTAGGACCCTATTTTGTTTGCTTCAAGCTAGACTGGAGAATGAGCTCAGTACATTTTGGGAGGGGGTGACATGCGTCTAGATGGGGCTGTGCAGTCTCCGGGTGTGCGTGATCTCTGGCGCCTCCATGAAGCAGAGCATGATGTGCACTGCTCCTACCAGGAAATCGGCTCTGGCAAGGCAAGGAGCAAGCAGCAGGCTTCATCCTTCTCAGGTCTAGGGTCTCCAAGACAGCTTCTGGGGCACAAGGCCTTCAGATAGGGCCCCCTGGCTCAGCCGTGGGGTCCTGGATGAAATGCTGGAAAAATACATCTGTCTATCTGTCTGTCCATCTGTCCCTCCGACCACCCTCACCGAACGCCCAGGGTGTCAGGTATGTCAGGATGAAGGCTGTGCTATGTTTGACGCCAGTCCCAGCACCCAGCCCCGTTCTGGCAACAGAAGAAGTGCTCCATAAACATTTATGAATGAACAGGTGGATGAACACAGCAAAGAAAAGAACCAAATTGAAAATAACACAAGAGCAAAGAACTAGCAACAGGCAAGTGAGGACACAGCGCAACCCCCTGGGGTCCTGGCAGGGAGGAGGGTACTGGGGGAGGCATGTCGGCAGCCCCTGGCCCTGCTCACTCCACCCCTCGCCCGGCTTCATCTTCCACCTCCTGCCTCAGCAGCCCCTCTCCTGAGCCTTCTTCCATTGAGGCCACTCCTGACCACCACAGGCTTAACACAGAGTTCAGTTCTCACAGGGCTCGGACAGCCGAAGCACCAGACCCAGGGGCCCACTCCCTCCTGCACGAGGCACGCTTGTCCTCTGGCTTCAGACACCACACCTGTCCTGTGGCCTTTCTGCCTCATGCTTGCTCCTTCTACTGACCCTTCCAGTGGTAGGGCCCAGGGCTCAGTCCTTCTTGTTTTCCTCCTCCTACTTCCTCCTCAACAATGCCCCCTTATGGTTCTTATCTAGTCCCATGGATTTAAATGCCATCATATGCTGATGACTCCCAAATCCACACCCCCTGCTGAGACCCCTGCCTGGCACCTGACAGACCTCCTGCCTCAAACCTCCCTGGCCAATGTCCCTGCCCAGTGGGACCGAGCCAGGGTGCACCATTCCATGTGTGCCACGTGGACTCCTCTCATCATCCAATCACAGGGGTCACTGTTCACGTCCCCACAGGATGTAAACTCCACAGGGCAGGGCCCCAGCACCATGCCTGCACATACCAGGGGCTCTATAAATGTTACCCTGCAGGCTGGCAGTATTTTTTGCAGCATATCTCTGAAAGGAGGAAGTATTGGGAAAGAAGAAGAAAGGAAGGGGACAGGGAGGTGGAGAGCAGGAGGAGGGGGGGGAATGGCCGTTCCTTGCACACCCACACCACGCCCAGTTGGGGGTGGATGGTTGTCTGGTTGGAGATCACAGTGGTCTATGGTTGAGCTCTGTTAAAAATCCCACCACCGTCCCTGGCAAGCTTGGCCACAGGTCAGCGAAGATTCTTAGCCCCATCTCTGCCTGCCTCCTCCCTTTGTTCTCCTGTTTCTAATTTCTGTACGTGCTACTTCCATGAATCTGACAAATCTACTTTCTGCGATTTTGGGCCACTGCCTGAGTTGGCAACTTCTCTGGAAGGCCTGCTGTCCTAGGGCCATGCTGGAGGCTCAGCATAAAGAAAAGTGCCATCGGATTCAACCCACCTACCCTGGGACCAGGAGGAAGAGGGAAAGATGCAGGGCCAGAGGGTCCCACCCCTCAGGGAGAGGGGAGGCAGAGGGTAGCCCAGTGCTGTTCAGAAGGGCCCGAGCCCAACAGTGGAGATGTTGGCCTGCAGATTCCGAGCTACACAGGAGGTACACAAACAGGGGCTTTACAGACGCAGACCCTGGTGGGCTGAGCCTGATGCTCCATCGCATGCTCAGGCACCAACAGCTAATCTCGCAACCACCTTGCAAGGCACCTTCTACCCCCTCCTTTTAGAGGAGGAAAATGGGGATCAAGAGGATTAACTGTGTGTGGTGACAGACTAGCGGCCAGCCACAAAGCCCCCTTTCTTGCAATAGCAATATTCTCCTTCTGTCCGTTGCTGTGTAAAGGAAGAAATAAAGGAGTAACTTCCACTCCATTCTCAAGTCAATGTTTTATAGAATATTAGGCACTGATGTTATGTAATAGCGTGGGGGGAGAAAAAAAAAAAAGAGACCAAAGGAGGCCACTGTAATTAGGAGGCACTTTCAATGCACAAGCCTATAGGACCGGGTAATGTTTTGTTCTGTTGTACATAGGGTCACTGTGAGTCGGAACCGACTCGACGGCACTTAACAACAACAACATAGGAGGTCTACGCCAGTTCTAGGAGGAGGTCTGCAACTCCCCTTGTGGAACTCAAAAGCCATCTGTCCCAACACCACCCGCAGAGACATTTGAGAAAACAAACAGAAGAAAGCACAGGGGCCGTGAGAGCCCACCCTAGCAGCATGCACACTGCCAGCTTCTCACATGCACTACATCTTCAGCCGAGCCGGCTCCTGCAGACAGTGCCTGAGGCTGAGGGGTGAAGGGACCTAGCGGGGCCCCAGAGCAGACCACCCACCCCCAGGGTGCACACTGGCAAGTGCAGGCTGAGCGAGGCCAGCTCCTCTGTGGACTCCATGCCGCAGGGAAGCTGGTGGGAGCCAGCAGGAGGGAAGAACCCCGAACAATGCGTGCACAGCCCTGGGCGGCCCCACTCCCGATCCGACTTACCCCGGCAGGCCAGCGGCTTCCATAACGTTGGCTAAGGTCACGTCGTTGGACCATACATCGTACTGCCACTTGCGCAGGCCCAGCACCCCACAGAGCACCCGGCCTGTGTGCAGCCCCACACGCATGTTCAGGTTCACCTCAGTGGCCTCGGCCACGGACCTGCAACACAAGCAGAGGGGGACCCGCCAAACTGTTGAGAGTTGCCTGGCTCCTGGGAAGTGGGGTGGGGGGTGAGCTCCACGACAGCAGGCCGCACACCTTTCGCCCCAGCACTGTACTCAGTGCCCAGGACTGGGTCAGAGCCCAAGAGGCCTCCTGAACCCGTAAGTCAACTGGGGGCCTGCCCACCCTAGTTGGGAGCTGACGATCCAAGTCCAGGTGCCAGGCAGGCAGGGCTCCCAGGTCACCTTGGACTAGCACAGTATCCAAACCAGCTCTGTGGGCACCCTCCATGACCCCCTCACTGAGAGGGGTCCCCACACTGAACTGAACCCAGGACCCCCCGCTAGTGACTCATCACCACTTCCATGGCCAGAGGAAGCAAAGAGTGTGCTGCCATACTTTACTCCTCTGAAGGTGTGACATCAGGGGTGACCTCCACTCCTGGGGGTCTGCACTCCCCCCACCCCCGACGAGACACCGAGGGGCTTGGGCCTGCATAGGCGCAAGGTGTAGGTGCTGACCCCACTGGAGACAACTGGAATCCTGGACACAGTGAGATGTTTGACCCTCAGCTCCACACAGTGAGGCCAGGCCCAGGACAAGGGCTGCACACACGGAAAATCTGTGCTCTTAACACGTGAGCACGATGGTGTGTGAATGACACCTCCATAAATTCTCCATCAAAAGTGGGGACTCTGAGGTCAGACTGCTGCGCTCAATACCAGCTCCATCGTCCCATGCTGTGTGGCCTTGGGCAAGTCACTTGGCTTCTCTGGGCAGCAGCTTGTCCTCTGGGAAATAGGGAAACACGAGCCCCTCGTGTGCATGGCTGTGTGAGGGAGCCTTGCCCAGGGCAGGACCAGCCAGGACCGCATGTCAATAGGAGTCTTGTACCCCTGGAAGCTCTTGTACAAAGTTATCTGGCTGGTTTTCAAAGCTCCACAGTAAAGAGATTACTGCAGAATTACTTAGGACAGACAGCATTTGAAATCTTTAGAGAGGGACTCCTGGAAGAGTTGGCAGCCTCTGCTCCAACCACATGGAGTGCACATTGAAGTAAACTGCCATGGTCACCAGTACAGAACACAAGGAGACAGACAGACAGAGGAAATGTGCTGAAATGTGGTGGCAGCTCCCTCTGGGGCTGAGAGCCGGCCATTTTATTTTTCTGTGTTTTCCACCTTATCCCCAAAGGGCAGAATTTGTTTTATTACACAAAAGTTGAAAACCTGTCAGCGGTTTTGGTGGTTCCTCAAAAAAGCAAAACAAAGAACTACCATACGACCCAGCAATCCCAATCCTAGGTAAAAAAACCAAACCTGTTGCCATCAAGTCGATTCTGACTCACAGTGACCCTACAGGACAGAGTAGAATTGCCCCACAGGGTTTCCCAGGAGCGGCTGGTGGATTCCAACTGCCGACCTTTCGGTTAGCAGCTATAGCTCTTAACCACTGCACCACCAGGGCTCCTATCCTAGGTATATGCCCCAAAACAACTGAAAGCAGGAAACCAAACAGAAACCTGGACACCAGTGTCCACTGCAGCACTTTTCACAATAGCCAAAAGGTGGAAACAACCTAAATGTCCATCAACATGAATGGATAATCAAAATGGAATACTATTACTCAGCCATAAGAGAAATGAAGTCTTGATGCATACCCCTCAATGGATGAACTTTGAAAAGAGTATGCTGAGTGAAATAAGTCAGTCACAAAAGGCCAAATATTATATGATCCCCTTATATGAAATATCTAGAATAGGCAAAGGTGCAGAGATCAGAGTTTATTACCGGAGGTGGGAGGGGAAGGAGGGATTCATGGCTTAGGGGGACACTGAGTTTCTGCTAATGGTGGTAGATAATTTGGAAACTGACAGTGGTAATGGGTGCACAACATGATAAATATAACTAATTCACTGAGTTGTGCCTGCAAAATTTTTGGAATTGGCTAATGTTTTGTTATATATATATTTTTGCCACAATAAAAAATAAAATAAAGAAAAAGGGAAATCCGTCAGTAGGGAAAGTGTCAGGCATGTTTGCTGCTCTGGAAGGGACAGAAATGGGATAATGGTGGGCACATAAGGGCCACAGTTCGCCCTCGGAAACTGAAGGCGTGAGGCTGAGGGGCGCTCAGACACTTGTACCTGGCAGCCAGGCAGACTCTCCTCTTCTCCCATTGCTGTCCCTCCCTCAGGCCCTTCCTAGACCCTTGCCTGCGTGACTGAAACCTTGCGTGCCTCCTGGGTGCCCCAAGACATCTATTAGCCCCATCTCCACGCCTCACAGACCTGGGCATGGCCACCTGCTCAACCAGGGCCTGGAGGCTTTGCAAACCAATAGGGAGGGCTGGGGGCTGTCCAAGAAGTCTGTCCCCCAGGCTCCCCTCACCTATCCCTCCTGAACACATCGAAGAACTCGAGGTGACAGATCCTGGCCTTCTGGACATAACTCTCCATATTCCACCCCATCTGCCCTCACTTGCCTCTTGTCCCTTCATCTTTCCTAAGCATTTAACAGTTTAAACATGAAGTGGCTCAAGCTACTGTGACTCCTTTTTGGAAGCAGGCAGGACAGCTCTCTGTTCTGATCAGTCCAAAGTACCCACCCAGCCCCCAGGGACTTCACGTGTCAGTGCACCTGGGCCTGTTTGCGCAGGTGTCCACAGACAGGCGGGCCAGGTGGCTCTACCTGTCAGCGGCCCAAGTGATAAGCAAGGGGACAGTGGGGGCACAGCCACACAGCCCTACCCGTAGGACAGTGCCAACCCCTCCTCCATCCCGTCTGCTCCCTCTCCAGAGGCAAGCACCCTGCACCCAACCACAGGTGCAGCACCCCTATACATCAAGCCAGCCGAGCCCCAGGCTTGCTCATACAAGTTCGACTGCTACTTCAAGACTTGGGATCCACTGAGGAAGGCCCCATGTGACTCCAAATAAGACTTCAGGCAGTAGCATGAGGCCAGCAGAGATGTCACCTCCCGTGAGCCTGCCGGATCCCTCTTTGCAGTAGCCCGTCCTCACTTTGCCCACGTCACTTAGATTACCGGCATGACAGCACAAGTCAGCAGTAGAACTGCTCCATGCTGGTGCCCTGACCACCCTCTCCTACCTGCAGAGGCCACACAAGTCGGGCTGAATCGTGGCGGACCTGGGGATGCCCTGAGACGCTCTGGGACGTGGTAGCAAGGGCTGTCTAGTGAGGAGCTGCCCCCAGGCCGCCTCTCATTCCCGCCCTGGCTCAGGTGAGGTGCCGCTTCCACCCGGTCTCCATACAGCTGCAGGTTATAAATGGCTTAGTGGCACAGAGCACCGTCCGGCAACCGCTGCCCACACCGGCCTGCAGCCCAGCAGCCCTCCGCTCGCCCGCACTGGCCTCTGCTCAAACCAGCGACCCTGTCAGCCAGAGATGTTTCACACAGCCCTGGGGTCCCCGTGCGGGGTTCAGCCGCGACAACTCCAGAAGGATGTGAGCCACATGTTCACAGAAAACGCTGTTTGAAAGCTGAACCACTGACATTTCTTTAACACCTATTTAATCTTATAAATTTCGAATGAACTTTTTTAATTTCAACTTTGTTTTTTCAGTTGTTTGCCAACCATCAATGAGAGGCACTGAAACAAAAAAAAAAGTTAAAATTCATTTTTCAAAACTCACAAATGTACATCAGTACAAAACACTGTAAATCATTAAAATTGCCAAGGTGTTTCTGTGTACTTTTGGCACTTCCGCTCCTGTAGTTATGAGAGGGTGGGCAGACAAGGACAGCAGGCCCTGACCTCCTCTTCCAGCTCTACTGATGCCCCACCAGGTCCTGGTGCCCAGTGCCCGGCTCCAGGATCCACTCCTGCCTGCCATGCAGCCTCATCGTCCTTCCTACCCAGCACTTGCTACCTAGACTCCCCGCTTTTCATTTTTTCCAGTAGGTTCTGCATCAAATATCAATATCTCAATTCTGGCAACATCCAATCTGTACTTAAAGGGGCAATTACTTCCAAATAAACCACGATCCTCTGGCCTTGTTGTTCCTGGAATGCCCAAGCTGACTTGCCTAGACCAAACAGAACTGACTCCTAACTTCATTCCCAAGGAATACAATTTCCAGACTTTCTTGGTTTTATTTCTGTCTGACTTTATTTACTCTCTCAGGTTCACTTATTTATCTCAATTTTCTTTTAAATGCAGGCAAAATGTCCAGAATGCACACTGTCTGCAGCCCAGGTACTAGCTCTAGGCGGCCTGACAGGAAGGACGTGAGCACCACCATATCTGTGGTCAGGGGAGCCCCCAGTCCTTTGTAAATGAGCTCTGGCAAAGCTGAAGTCTAACCACGACTGTACTGAAGCTTAAAAAATGAAAGGACCATAAATTCATCCATTCAACAAATACGTGAGCGTGTTTACCTCAGGCATTACTCTAAGCATTGAGGCTACAGCTTTCAACATAACAGGAAGAAGAAGAGAGACGGTGGACATTATAGAGACATGTTCACTATCGTCTAGGCAGACAACTCCAGAAATGGTGACAACAGACATACACTGTACCCGCCTCCACCCCCAGCCACCTCCCACCCCTGGGGAGCTGGAAAGGGCAGAGCGATTGCTTTCAAGCACCACTGTGTTCAAATTCATAACCTCAGCTTGGGCTCATCCTGGCCCTCCTGGGCCTCAGTTTCCTCACCTGTAACAAGTTCTCCACCTGGAGTACACAGGATTGGAAAGACTCTGATCCCTCTTACAGTATAGGGCCAAGAGCAGCAGCGCTTCTCGGACTGTTGTGGCAGTGTAAGGGCCCTGGGCCCCCGCTTCCAGCCAAGCTTCCCTTGTGTCTTTGACTTAGAGACCCACTTGAATAACAGTCAGGTCCCAGCCCCCGACACCACTTGATTCTTGCTGGAAGTCTCTGTATGTTAACATGCCTTTTATAAAGGCATCCTAAACCCTCTTTTCCCCAGGGCTCAGTCTGCAGTGAAAAGTGCCTAAATGGCAGGCGTGCACATCCTTGTGTTTAGAGGTTAGAAAAGGGGAAAATGGTAAACATTGTTAGTCATGTTTTCCCATAAGAATGAACATTCTACTCCGTGAACAGAAATAGACCACGCCTCACTTGTTAGACACAGACATGATTCTTGACGCCTCCGGCGTGGCCACACACACGCACGTTCCTGCTTTGCAGCAAGTTCTTTATCAACTTGAAGTTACTTTGTTCAGCTCCTCTTCAGTCCAGTGGCTGGAAATGCCCTGCCCCTTCAGAAGTCCTCCTGATGCTCAGCAGTACAGAAACCAATTGTTAGGTTTTCAAAGGTCAGCGGTCCTGGTAGATGTGCTGCCAGCGGAATATCAGCCTGAAGGAAGAGCTGACAATATTGGTCCACACCGCCGGGGGTGGGACCACAGATGCCTTCTCCCCTCTGCGCAGAGCACCCTCAGAGACCATGTGGTCTGCACCATATGCTGTCGAGAATCTGAGTCAGCCAAGCCCACACCTCAAGCCTTTGGTTTTCTCTGCCACTCAGAAGTCTGGCCTCTGGCAAAGACTTGACATCTTGGAACGGCAGCCCCACCGCTCCTTCCTGGTCACCCACGGCCTGTCCTGGTCACCTAGGCCCTACCTCAGGGCCCTTCCAAAAGACGCAGTAAGTCAACAGCCACCCGAATTCAGCCTGACAGGGCATGGCCTGCTCTTTAGGAGAGGGGAGGTAGAAGGGCCTCCTGAAAGATATGTGTGCTCACGGCAGGAGGGAAGCCAGGAGAGCACAGAGGCTCACTCCCCAGCAGACGCGTGAACACGCAGAGTCCCGCTCAAGCCCAGCGCTGGCCGTGCCTGTGGAGCACTGCCTCTGGTCACGTTTGCTTGTCTTTTGGCGTTCTTCCTGAGGAATTCTTTAGTTTCCAAAATTTCAAACTAAAAACTCCATTCAGAGGTAGAAGGCCAAGAAACACAAAAATCCACCTACGTGTGGACACACCCCTCCATGAAATGGACATATTTGTCCTACAGGGTTCCTGTGTGATGGGGCGAGTGGCCGGTGGGGCCAGCAGCCTGCCAAAGATGGCTGTCCCTCCGAAGCCTCCACAGGAAGGCCAGCCGCACAGAAAGCACATTGACCCGACCCAGACTTGGGACAGTCAGAGGAGGGAAGAAGGGCATAAGAGGCAATCTTCCCGAGCACCGTTTGCTTGGTGGCTCTCCTTCCTGTGCAAAGCCAGGTGCCTGGCAGGGCAGCAGCTCCAGTCAGCCCAAGGCCCTCTGGATTCTGTGAGCTCTGGTGTTGAAGCAGAGGGCGGCCTCGGGAGCAGAGGAGGATGCTTGCACCAGCACTGGGGTCAAGGGGCAAGGCAAGAAAGACAGGGCCACTGAAGTCGGGATCTCAAGACTTTGGAAAATTGTAGGGACAACCAAGGGGACACTATAGTTTCACAGAGGAAAGGGACCACAAAGCAGAGGAAGGCAGAGCAGGTAATGGCTTCTGACAGTCAGTACAGCGCAACCAGCACAATACCATGCGCAGAGCAGAAAGAGCCAACTCAGGGCTTCCTGACCCCCGCAGAGACACTCTACAATACATAAATGTGCGGGTCAAGCCATGCCAGGAGCCCTGTGAGGGGGACTCTCAGCTTAAGTAACTGCAGAGGGGTCCTGAGCAGTGACATTAGGAGACGCCATACCATGGAGCATCCAGCCAGCTGGGGAGGCAGCAGGAGGAGCTGGAGGACAGGCCCAGAGTTCTCGAGGATGATCCCCAGTCAGTGCAATGAGGGCCAGACCTTCAGGATAGGAGGCTATCTGCCTCAGTTCCACTAGTAACTGGTTCAGCCCTGTCAGTCCTGGTGTTAGGGAGCTCATGGGCTCCTGTGTACACTCAGTCTGTGCCTGGCACTCAGCAGGGCTTCATAAGCATTACTAAGTGAAAGAGTGACATTTATCTCCTCCGAGCTTCCACCCAGAGAACCTCATGCTACCCTAAGGAGATTACACAGAATAGATGATAGAATAGGATAGGATGTTGTTGTTAGGTACCATTGAGTCAGTTCTGACTCATAGCGACCCTATGTACAACAGAATGAAACACTACGCGGTCCTGCACCATCCTCACAATCCCTGCTATGCTTCAGCCCACTGTTGTAGCCACTGTGTCACTCCATCTTATTGAGGGTCTCGGATACATCTGATGCATGTTATAGTATATTATATGATTGATATAATAGGTATGACACATGATGGTAGAAGATTAAGAAAGGATATATGATATGATTGATACATATGATATATGATATAGTTGATATATGATATATGATTGATATGATACACAATGATGAGATATGATATGACTGATATATAATAGGATTGCTATAAGATGATATGACATGCTATCCTTTCAGAGAACAGAAGATAGTATCAAATTTCTATCCCTCTCAATTTTCTCAAATCAGACATCCTGACTTCCTTCACCTTTTTTGGCCAGGCTTTAAGTATTTCCACCAATCTGGTCTCTCTTCTGTAAAGCAGTTGTTCTCTCATTTTGCTGCATCCTAATATCAGCTGGGGAGCTTTTCAGACCTGCAATGCCTAGACTGTCACCCAGATGAACTACATCAGACTCAGATGCAGGCCAGGAACAGTGCTTGCAAATTCTCCCAGGTAATCCAATGTGCTTCCAGGCTTAAGAACCCCTGCCTGAAAGGCTGCACGGTGTTCATGCCCCCACAAGGGGAAGCCCAGGTCTGAGGAGGTGCCTCCCTCTGCTAAAGCACTGCTCTTCCTGCCACAGTCTAAAGGTACACTCCTCTCCTGCTGCCCTCACCCACGAAGCCCTCTGGTAACCCCAATCTCCGAAGTGTTGTTCTATTTTGATGTTCTGTTCATTCTTTCACTCCAGCAGCTACTTTATCACATCTCCCTCATACAATTCTCGTGCTATAAACTTTCTACTTCTGAGTGTGAAACTCTGAACCAGTTCCTGCTAAACCTCATCTCACTGGGTCATACTCTTCACTCCACACTTCTGAGATTTAATGGGATCTATGCTCCATCCCATTAGGTCAGTTTCTCAGCTCTGTACCATCCCCTAACTTGCTAAAAGGCTTCCTATGTCTTCATCCCAGTCACTGATAGAACCAGGACAAGACAAGGCCGAGATTAAAAAAAAAAAAAAAGGACAGACTAGACTCATGGGTCTGCTCCTTCCTTCCAGTTATGCTCACCCTGCCTGATACCAGCCCACCCCTCTCCACACAGGACCTGAGTCCTTGTTACCTGCCTTGGTGAGGAGCAAGAGTGCGCACCTCCTTTTGAAATGGAATTCAGCTGGATCTGCGGCAAGCACTGCCCCCGCGGACTCCCCTAGGTATTTTATCTGGCTAAGCACAGATTAGTGTCTTTAAGCAAGACTAATGCATACCTAATAAGATCAGAGCTTACTGCAGACATAACCTAAAGGAGGGGCCACTGAAGCAACACTCCACAGCTAAGGGGGACTTGCTGGATCCAACTTCCTCTTGATGTGGTGCTGGTCCTCACAGCCCCAGGAAAGTGACCACACCTGGGGACAGACTAAGCTCATAAGGGCACGTGTGGCACAAGGGGGGTCAGCAGCCACAACCCCCTGGCCCAGGCCCAGCCCCCGGGAGGCACTTACGTGATGGTATCAATCATGTCAAGCCCCATCTCCACACAGCAATGGGCATGGTCAGTCTTGGGCTGGGTGAGGCCCGACACACAGTAATAGCAGTCCCCCAGGATCTTGATCCGCCGGCAGTGGTTCTCCTGCAGGGGGAGGGTGAGACCCACATGTTAAAGCAGTGGAAGCTTTGCAGAACTGACCCCAAGCCACCCTTCATAGACCTCATCTTCTCCCCATCGCTGCAGTGGTGGAGATGATCTAGCACACGGAACAATAATGTGCATCCGCCATGTCCCAGCCCAGGGCCGGGTGGGCAGTGCATGCAGCACTCTCCATCTGGCCCGAGAGGGCACGGCCAGCCTCCTGACACCAACACATTCCCCGTTCCCCTTCCTCACGGTTCTCCTTCCACCTGATGTGTCTGCCACCCTGAACCTCTGCCCCCGCCTCGCCCTATATCTCACTTGGTCACACCCTACAGACCCTTCCGGTCCAGCTGAAATGCCAGCTCCATCAGACGTCTACCCCAAGCCCCATACGGTGTCTGCTTTCTCCAAATTCACACAGCGTCTCTCTTGCAGTGCACATGTACCAATCACGGTGTCAGCCCTTCTGGAATGTGCTATATCCCCACCAGGCAGCCACTTCTCCCCAACAATTTGAGCACAGTGCCTGACTCACAGGTCTAAGCAGCTCTCGGGAAAGGAACCATGTGCAGCAGGGTCTGCATCCTGCGGTGAGTCCACTGGTGAGCCCTGACCCACCACTCACAAGGTATGCGACCTCTCTGAATGTGCCCCCACTCAGTGATAAACGGGAACAATAAGCACCTGCCTCCCAGTCCACTTTGAGGACCGAGATAACAGATGCAAAGCACTCATCATACCACTTCGCATATGCTCTGATAAATAAACACTAGCTGAGATTTTTATTGACTGTTACTATTTTTAGTTCAAGGAAAACACTAAAACAGAAGTTCTCTACATTTGGTCTCAGGACCCCTTTCCATTTTTGCAGTGATTGTTGTTGTTGTTAGGTGCCGTCGAGTCAACGCTGACTCACAGTGATCCTATGTATAAGAGAATGAAATGTTGCCCAGTCTTGTGCCATCCTCACAGTCGTTACTATATTTGACCCCATTGTTGCAGCCACTGTGTCAATCCATCTCATTGAGCGTTGTCTTCTTTTGCATTGACCCTCTACCAAGCATCATGTCCTTCTCCAAGGACTGGTCCCTCCTGAAACATATCCAGAGTAAGTGAGACAAGGTCTTGCCATCCTCTCTTCTAAGGAGCATTCTTAATATACAGTGATTGAGGACCTCACAAAAAACTTTTGTTTAAGTGGGTTATATCTATCTACTGAGATTCACCACATTAGAAGCTACAACTGAGAAAATTTAAGCATATTTATTAATTGATTTAAAATTGACAATAGTACATTCATTACAGTTAATAACATTTTTTAACGAAAAATGACATTTTGCAAAACAAAAAATTAATGAGAAGGTGGCATTATTTTACATTTTTGTAAATTTCTTTAATATCTGTCTTCATGGAAGACAGCTGGACTGTATTATCTGCTTCTGCATACATCTGCTGTGATACACTGTCTGTGTTGGTGTAAAGGAAGGGTGTCGGCCTCAAACGGACATGTAGTTAGATAAGGCAGGGTCTCACAGATTCCTGAGATGGTCTTGTATGGCCCCCAAGGACGTCGGTCCACACCGAGAACCCTAGCATTACACAAACAACACACTCCATAGCTTATATTTATTTGTTCTTTGGCTTCTTACAAATGCTTTGAATTAGCACAGCACATTTAAGACAGGCATTCCCAACTCTCAGTATCCAGGTGCTCAAACATCCTCCACCTCTGCCTAAGGCTCTGACTGGGGGCTGGAGGGCAGGAGGACCCAGAGCCAGTGTCCAGCGACTGGGCAGCGAGGGGCCCCAGCTGACCTTGAAGGCTCACGTTGCCAGCTGTGCCAGGGGTGCCATAGCGGTGAATGGCCCTGGGGTCCTTCCCAGGTCTGTCCGCCTGTATCACATGGAAACATCTCTTCTCCTAAGTGGCTCTCAGGCTCAGAGCTGCAGGTGTCTTGAACAATGGCCCCATCTCTCGCCCCCCATCCCTCATCTGAGAGGGGGGTGATGTTGGCCGCACAGAGGGGGCTCTGCACTTTCTTCTTTTACACCCCCTGGCCATGGACACACACATGAATGGGGAGGGGCACTGAAGCAGCCTCAGAAAGACCAGAAGTCTGCTCTGTCCAGAGCCCCCGGCCCTCACACTGGCAGAGAGTGGTCCAGGTGGCTGGGAGAAGGCACACAGGCACAGTTTAGAATCTGACCAGGGAGGATCCAGTCTCAGCGTGACTCAGTGTGACTATGGACAAGTTACTCACCTTAGGGGGCCAGTCTCCTCACCTGCAGAATGGAGGTAATCCCACTGACACCACTTCCGGGCTTGGCTGGAGTTATTAAGTGCATGAAGGCCCAACTCAGAGCCAGCACACCCAGGGGGTGTTGGGAGCACACACTCCAGAGCAAAACAGCCGAGTTCTGATCCACACTCTGCCCTGGGCAGGCCATGGACCACAGGGTTGACATTCTGTCATCCGTGAGATGGGGCTCAGAGACACCCATGTCACAGAGGCTGTGGGGACTTCAAAGGATGGCCTGGGTGAGGCTCTCGGCACAGTGGCTGGCCACTGTGGCTCCAGGATTCCAGCTGATGACCAGTGGATGGGGTCATGGTCAGTGCTCAGTAAAGAAGAGCACAGTGTCCCAAAGAAGGCTGGCCAGCATGGGGCGGACAGAGACACGTCCAAGAGGCCAGGGCAGGTGGCCTGACCAGAGTCAGCTTGCTGGCCCCACTGGTGCTGTGACCTGCCATGTGACACCCTCATCCAACAGCCCTGGCTGCCCAAGGGCACCTCAGGGCCAGCTCTGCATCCCCACCGCGGATGAGCTGGCTGGCTGCCTGTAACACCGAGGCCAGCCGGGGGAGCTCACCGGGAGGCCTCTGACCCAAGCCTCCAGGACAGCAGGAGCCTCTAGAATGGCTTTCTCACAGGTTCCCATTGTCACTGCCCAGCAGAAGGGGATCTCGGAGTCCCCCAGACTGTGAGAATATCCAGACCACAGTGTGTGGGCACCAGGGGTTGGGGGGGAAGCCTCTTTGCTCCCATGCCCTGGCTTTCTCAGACTCTACTTCCTTCCTCAGCCACTGCGGCCAACCAGGGTGAGACAGGGACGCTGCTGTGGAGTTGCTGACGCCTCCCACCTCCCTGAGAGATCGGGTTTCCCTCAGTGATCCCTCTGAGGGGCCCATGAAAACCACAATGCCTGATTCTTGCATACAACATCCAGAGGGTCACACACCGGGTTCTCGGGACCCGAGCTTCAGACTACAAGGGCCTCATGGAGAGACGTGCTCCCAACCTTCTCTGTATCTCCTGTAACAAATAAAGTGCCCACGCCAGGGGGGAGTGTCACGAGTGCCGGGCAACTGCGGGGTCCCTCTGTGCCCCACCCTCCACCTCTTCCTTCAAGGCTCGTGGCTTTGCTGTGTGTGGGTTCACAGCCCATCCTCCTAGAGGTCCCTGAGTGAGGCTGCCCCCATTCATCTCTGAGAGTGAGAACAAGGCACAGAGCAGCACACAGTCTGCTCTGGGAAAGTCTGCTGAATGGACAAGTGTCTGCTGAGAAGGCTAGCCTGCATGTAAATGCGCAGGTTCCTCACTGACAGGGCGACTTGGAGGGTAGGAGCGCCTCGGGGTTTAAAATGCAAATTAAGGGCTCTTGGGTGGAGCTGCTTACAACAGCCTCACTGTGACTCTAGAGCCTGCCAGACCACAGGGTTTCTGACACCAACAGACAGGGGAGTGACCTCAGGCTGGCCCGGTGAGCGGAATCTGATGCCAGTCCTCATGGGAATGACATGGAAGAATGAGCTGTGCAGAGACTCTGGGTGAGAGGGCAGCGTGAACGCCATGGAGAACCTTGGTGAGACACTGCCAGGCAGTAGGGCCGGAGCTGGTGTGGGGAGCAGGCCTCTGACCAGGTGTGAAGGTCAAGTGACCTGCAGAGGGGTGCTCCCTTTGCATACAGCCACTCAGAAGCCATATGAAAATAGGGTCAGCGTGGATACTGGAGAAGTTTTCTGGACTAGGATGAGGTCAGCATACTATAGACACCGAGGTGTGTAGATACGGCTTCCTGGAAGGTGAGATGTGTGTCTGGGGACAGGTAAGAGGGGAGGACCGCCCTCTCAGCCTGGGCTTCCTCTCACCTGGACCCTCCTCCACCATGTGGGTGGGCGGAGGAGAGACAGGGAAGTGTTCACCCCCACAGCGGGTGGCAGAAACACCCACAAAAAATGCATGGACTAAAATGCAGAATTTTTTAAAAATATCAAGATGTCCTGGATTTTGTTAGCATGCTTAAGAGATGCCCTGTCCCCTCCCCTCCCCCCCGAAAAAAAAGAAAAGGTTTTTAATTTGCTTTCGGCTTACAGATTTTAAAATATTCTCTGTAAATATCAAAAGCTAGAGCCTGGTTAGCTTAGAGCCTGGAGTTCCCGCCTGAGACCACCAGGGAGCGGGGGGCCTGCCACACCCTAAGAGCCGTGGGTCCAGCCAAGATAACTAAAAAGGAGGAGGGTGGAGGGGCTTGACAAGGGTTCAGGCCCCGAGGGGCCAAGCAAAGGGGTCTAGTGCGGCACTCTTCCTCCCAGCTGTGGAGGGGACTGGACTGGTGAGTCACAGGACAACAGACTCCCCATCAGAAACTCCAGAAGGACTGAAGGGAAATCTGGTACAGCAGTCTCTCATCCACTCCCGGGGTGTGGCCTGAGGAATGTGGCAAGCTGGCAGACAAGCCCTGGGCCCACACGGGCCTGTGTAAACAGAGACCACCCACTCCAGCATATCTGACCCTGGCCTTCTCCAGCACTAATCCCAGAAGGCCCTGGGAGTGCTGAGAAGGCCAGGGGACAAACAGGGGCTGAAGGGAGGTCTCAGAGGAAGCAGAGAACTCAGAGGGATCATGAAGACCCACTGCAGAGTCCAGAGCCTGAAGATACCCAGGCTCCCTCTACGGCCAGCTCTAACACAGTAGTCTAGTGAGGCCAGAGGACA